CAGTTTTTACATGGTTTCAGCATGCGCAATTTGGGAAACATGGTTGGTAGGGCGGGCGCCTACTACTACTACTACTACTACGACGATGACTACTACTACTACTACTACTACTCCTACTACTCCTACTACTACTGCTACTACTACTACTACTACTAGTACTAGTACTAATACCAGTAGTACTCCTAATACTGGCCCTCAAAAATTTAGCGGAAGACAGGAAAATACTGGTATTTACAGGGTCTGGTGCTCATAGACCAGAAGCCCGAGGAAAATCAGTAGGCCGAAAACTGCGACGAACTACTTGTCAAACAACTAGATTGTCCTTAGTTGATCGTGGGGTTCTCTCGCACGGGCCCTCATAGACATGTCTTGTTGTAAGATTGTTTTGAGTAGAACAGCATGTCCGCTACGATCACTTTCGACGGAAATAGTACACGTCCGCAAATAAGAGTTTCCTGGAATAGCAGTACATGTCCAGCAGTACATGTCCCCTAATAAGAGTTTCCAAAATGGTAGTACATGTCCGCAAGTAAGAGCTTCTTGGCATGGTAGCACATGTCCGGTAAAGATAATTTCTCTTAACTAGAAAAAATAGTAGTGCATGTCGCTAAGAAGAATTTCAAAAATTGTAGCACAATGCCTGCTAGTAACAGTTTCTTGGAATAGTGGCACAGGTGACAGCTCACGGACTGTAACTAGATCTTCACTTGGTTCAGGACATGAATACCGTAAGCAAACCCAAAACATCCCGTAGGCAAACACCAGAAAAACAATAAAAGCAAAACCTCAAGTGCTTGGGATCCATACTCATAGGCCCGTAGAGGGTCGAACATGAAAGGAACTATCTTGGCCAAGATGGATGCTCGCAAAACCGTATAGGTTCGAACATGGACGGAATTATTTTGGCCAATTCGTGTTGGCCCGAACATGGACGGAATGATCGTATAGGGTCGAACATAGATGGGTGGCCAAGATGGATGCTTGCAAAATCGGACGTAATTACTTTTGCCAAGATGGATGCTCGAGAAAACATATTGAAACCAACATAGACGGAGCTATCTTGGATAGATGCTCGCAAAACCATATAGGGTCGAACATGGACGGAATTATCTTGGCCAAGATGGATTCTTACAAACCGTATTTGCTTGCACCCTTCATGGCTGCGGCAGTCCAAGCTGCGGTCATCAAATTAAAAGCTCGACTCCGGAAACAGTCAAAATCAAGTGTGTGATACTTGGATGGGATTGCAGTGGTGCTGCATTTATTGGCTACGAGGGCAAGACTCTAGGATGCCTGAATCAAATCACTGATGATCAGAAGCATGTTGGTTAGAACAACACTTCCAAACATGCTTATCAGCATTCCATTCGGCTTCTAACCTATTGATATCTGCAGTGTCTCCCTACTTTCAATGTTCACAATGATGACAACAATGATGGTCATCATGTTGAGGAGCATCCCACCGATAATGTGAAGGAGTACCTTGCCCTCAAGGTAGTGAGCATCTTATCATGACGGTTCCATGATCATAGTCGTGTGCCCCACTGCGATCAGCCAGCAGTTCCAGTCCTTGAGGAATTGTCATACGAAGTCAAGGAAACCTATGCGTAGCGAGGCACCCGGCTCGGAGAGCATGAGACGGCAACGTAATATTGGTCCAGCGTGACGCCCTTCTCATGGAACCTGTGGCAGGGCTTTGCTGGCTCCAGGAATCGGGACTACGAAGTGGTCCAAGGTACAGGCAAGGCCAGGCTCCAAGCCGAAATTGCAAGCTTGGAATCATGCGCGGGGCGGAAAAAGCTACTTGTTGATTCCTTCTGGGCAACATCTTGGATTGACCACTATCCGTTCAAACGGTTTTGCTTGCACATTTGACAACATGTTGAAATCGGTCGACCCGTTTCGTTTTACAAGCGTTTAATGATCTGAGCCACTTGAAGTTGCATGTGCCGTTTCATGCTTAGCCCCTGTCACTTTACCATGCTGATACCAACAGTTTTTCATGTGCGTGCTCTGCCGTCCCTACAGCAAACACAGGTTGTGTTGAGGGGCACAAGCAAAAAAAACAGCGTCTGTGCAGCAGGATGCCGTTTGAGGCTCATCTTTGGCTTGGATGCCTTGAACCAATGAATGAACCAACGCCGACACTGAACAAAAAGACCTTCAGAAGGATGAAAGGCTGTCTGCCCTTAAGCCCAAAATCTAAGAACAAGGCTCCGCAATAGAAAAACAGAAAAAGCAGCTGAACATGTCGGGCAGCAGGTTCAAAGCGGGAGTCTTGATCTGGTTCCTTGGGCTTTCGTCATGGAATTCAGCGTTGTATGCCGGCTGCACTAGACATCACTGGAAGCTACAACTGTGACGGTGGACCCTGGCAGACTAATGAAATTAATGTAGTCCTTGGTGGCTCTGGGTACTTAATTACTCCATACACACAATACACCGAGGTTCCCATTCCGGAAGCCAGCGTCATCAAAGCCAAAGTCATCAATTACCTCAGTCGGGAGTCTAGACCCTTTGCTTTTGGCCTGAAACATGCGAACCTGCAAGCCCAGAAAAATGTTAAAGTTGATACAGGCATTAACCATCCTAGGATCCTACCCAACTCCAAACCTGAGGCCCCCCCAATCTACAAATGCTCGGTCAAGTAATCCACATGAGAAACAGCTGACGCACTTAAGCTACCTTCTTGCCCGTCCCGCACTGCCATGAAGAGCACTCCAGGAGAATTCCAGGTTCACTCGAAAACGTCTCCAGCCGTCTGAGTTGACCAACTTTCCAAAAGCCGCAAGTGGCATAACCCAACAAACAGAATGCAGAGCGCATGAGCGTGACCTTAGGCAGAGCCGGCCTTTTGGTGGCCCACTTGGCAAGTTGAGGGATTGCGGGACCGTCTGGGCGATACGCAGGCCAACACTAGGGCGATACCCACCCCAAAGAGAACAACTTGGGGCCAGAAAGGCATGCGCGTAGGTTTAGGTTTCTCGCACGGTACATCAATTTGCACTGAATATCAAGTTGAAGCCATCGCCAGGAGCAACTGTGCCTTGAATCTGGGAAATGTTGGCAGACACGCTCGCCTATGTTTGGTTCGAGTAGCTCTCATATTTCAATCTTGCTCTTGACCTTCGAGGTTCTTCTGTTTCTTTTTCATGTCTCATCATTTCTTGCGATTTCCTTTGAACTCCTGTCTTGCGCCGTCAGTCCTTCTGATGTCCTATAACTTCCTCTAACTTCTTATCTTTTCTGACTCTCGTGATATTGTATAACTTCTTATCATTTTCGAGGAGCTCGCTTGATTTTGTTCACTGGCAGCTGTGAACGCCACGTAGAGGCAATGTAGCCCCAAGTGCAGATCCAGCTGCTCATGGTTTGGGAAACGACTTTGGAACCATACACGCCATGCAAACACATGGTAAAGGCCTGACACAGATCGAACTGCTGATGATGTAGGAAATGCTTCAACAATTCTACAATGTGACTGCCTTGTAGAATTGATGGTTCAGGAACCACACGTGTTGAAAACAACTGTCAAGCGTCCAGTTGCTCAGCGTCTAGCAACCCTAAATGCCTTGTAGAAGTGTCGGAGATGCGATTTTGGGATTCCCAATGCGCATC